TGGGATTATGTATATACAGGTGTCACTATTAGCCTTTTTGGATTTTAAAATATATATATATATATATAAAAATATATTTAAAAAAAAAAGCCCAATGGCAAATATATTAATACAGAAAAGATACATAAATGTTGTATGAGAGGGCCGTAAAGAAAGCTCAACTCATACAATACAACACACACAAAAGAGGGCCGTAAAGAAAGCTCAACTCATACAATATAACACACACAAAACCCAAATAAAGCAAAAATACATAAAAACAAAAAACCAAAAAGTCACAAAAGGGCACAAAAGAGCTAGGGACGTCCCACTTTAGCCCTCATGCCTCGAGTTCTCGGAAGTGAGCCGGTTAACAAATTAGTAAGGTGAGTATCATTGCCCGTAGTAACCAAAGTATCATTCATCAGATTCTTGAGCTTGAGTATATCTCCATTCTTCTTCTTTCTCCTGAATGTATAGACCTGTCATTCCTCATCCGAAGATTGACTCATCTAATAAGTAGATTCCAGAGGTGGTCGAACAGGTGTAAATCGTTGCACATCATGATCCCAATGAGTTTGAGTAACATTAACATCTTTCTAGACCTGATGAGGCGGTAGTGAAGCAGTAGAAGTATTTCTACATGTATTATCGATGATAAGTTCTATGGCAAGCGTAGTCTGAAGAATCTCCCTCTCCCCCACGATAGGAGGTTCCAAAAACTGGGAAGCTACAACTAGGGAATGAATGGTTGTCATATTGTCTACGGAGATATTGACGTCATGCGGGATATCCTTCTGATGATCAATAGTGTCAAAAACTTGGTACTGATCGGGATGAGATGGAATCACAGCCTCTGGCGAAACACTTTGCTTTTTTGGTTTGAGGTTGGGGTGTAGATGGTGAAACTGAGAACTAGAGTGGTCGAACATATGACAATTTGAATAATACGACGGAAAAGGCTCAATCTCTACCTTCTGCCAATATCCATGGTGTTGTGTGCCCAACTAGATTTCCTCAGAAGCGGGTGAAGTGATGTCTCTTTCAACAAGTACTCTGGCTTCAAATGGACGGAAAAGATTAAAAGTAAGAATGTATGTCTTGAGTGTCTTTCCATAAGCAGAAGCAATAAAGTACAATACTTTTTGAGAAAAAAAATGAAATTTCATACCAGGGAGTCGAATCCAAACTGGAATGATTAGTGGTTCCGTCTGTGGGTCAAAATCCACAGACAATTTCAAAATCTTCATTGTTCTGTTATTAATACAGATTATCCTCCTACCAACTAAACGCATGTAATCTTCTTCATTGTTAATTTAAATAAGAACGTCTCCCATCTAATAGTCAAATTTTTCACTCTCCAACAAGGTGCATAAGTTCAAATTCTTTGTAAATGAGCTCCATTTTGAGATGACCATATGGAAATTTCCCAACCAAATTCAGACGACAGGATGAAGCAAGTTGAATACCATCGTCTTCTATAAAAAAGATGGCAGGCTTCTCATTCTTCCTACCAAGCTTCTTGATGTCCTCCGCCCACTCAAATAAAGGAGGAAAAGATGGCAATTTAGGTGTACCTGAGGCGTGAACACCCGCAATGGCAGCAGCATACAATCTATCTGAAGCCATCCCCAAAGAGGGAGGTGGGGCTATGGGACAGCAAAGTGATAGTAGAGAAAGATCAAATGCCGAAAGGGAAGTCGAGCAGTGAGCGATTCGAGCCAGAGGAAAGCTTGCGCCCAGACGTATTTCACAGTACTGCGAGCGAAGACAGGAGCTAGAAGCCTGTGCTTCTCGGGATGACGAAGAATGAGTCGTGAACCGTAGAAGTCGCAGAAGGAGCTTGAGCTTCTCGGGAAGACAAAAGAACGAGCTGCAGAAGAAGCCCGCGCCTAGAAGTCCTTCAAATGTTGCCCCTGAGCCCGACGCCTTCACGTGAGAGCCGCTGAATCACGAGATACAACGAGCCACTACGACGTGACGGCGAACAGGTGACAAAGACGAAGAAGAGGTAAGACGAAATCGATGAAGATGCAGTGAATCAGAGAAACCGGGGTTCGCCATAGGCGTACCCTAGCAGAACAAGAGCGAGAGCGAATATATATATATATATATACATATATATATATATATATACACACATATATATCTGAATATCAGATGGCTTTTTCGTCCGTTAGGGTTTCGCCCGATGGCGAGACCTAGCGTCCTTATTGATTTTCTCCTCTATCAATCGATTCGGCGTGCTCGAAGAAGAAGAAGGGCGCGCCTCGTCGTCATCCGGAGCTAGCGTCACTTTCTGGAGCTCGCGCCTTCTGCTTCGATTGATACGAGGTCGTCGCGTCTGTTGCGGTTTGATTTTGTCGTCATCCGGAGGTCACGTCGTCTTCTGGACTCGCGTCGAGTCTGCTACTTCATGTCGCTCGTCGGCGGCAGTCAACAAGCTGCGCCAGCCTGCTGTGCTTGTGTGAGGCACGCCAATGGCCTCAGGGCTTTCCTACGCTGCCGCCCTCACCGGTGATAATCCCTCCAAAGTTCACAAAAGCAATTCCCCTTTCCACCTTGCAGATAGGCCGATGTTCCCGCAGATGTACAATGATTCTGTTGCAGAACATGGAGATTACAATCTCATCAAAAAAATAGACAAAAAGGCAAGCGAACCAGCAGTATTCTTCTATGACGCTGAAATTTCAACTCGTGCAGAAAAGATGGAAACTATCAGGAAGGTTTTTTAGGGTTTCAAACTAGTTGGGGCTTGGCAGGTGGGTCTTTTCGACGGAAGACGTGTTATGATACAGCTAAGCATAGAAGAAGACTACACAAGGATTTTCTCAAAAAAATTCTCAAAAAAACTCAAAAAAATTCATCACAATCGAGGGCAATCATATGAAATTGCTCAAATAGACCCCTGATTTTGATACCAGTCGAAAACTCCTATTTGTGTATATATGATTCTCATTACCTGAACTCAAGATTCAATTTTTTGACCTACCTATCTTATATGCGATTGAGACTATCCTCAGAAAACCTTTGCAGGTAGACACACCAATAGTTCATTTCTAACGACCCTCTATTGCAAGGATTTTGATTGAAATGGATATTACACTACCAGATGTAGAAAAAGTCTGGCTTAGCTCTACTCACAATGGTTATTGAAAAAAAATCATTATTGAACAAAAACATTACTACTGCAAGCACTGCAAGATGTCTGGACACCCACAAAAAAAATGTTTCGGATTGCACCCACAATTAAGAACCAATAGTCAAAAGTAGGAACATGTTAGTGCACTACACAAGCCTGAACACGCTCTCAGCAAACCTGATGACAGCCAACTCAAGGAAGAAATCACCACAAGACAGGAAATGGTGTACCCCTGGGAACCCTACTCCTGATCATACTATAAGGGATAATGTTCGGACCGAAAGTCAGGATAGCCCTGCAACTCCTATTCATGAAGCATCAGGTGCAGAGGTGACAATTCACACTGCACATACACTGGAATCTATCGTTGTGGCAACGACTGTCTTTCCTTCTACTGCAGTTCAACCAAAGATCACATGAGCCAATCTTCGGATGAAGAATGACAGGTTTACACTTCTCGGTGGAAGAAGAAGGCTGGGGGCACACTCCAACTTGGATACTTAATGGATGATACTTTGGTTACTACTAGCAATGTCACAACACTTCAAATTTTGTTATCTGGCTCCTCTTATAAAACTAGTGGAAGAGGCAGGACTAAACTGGCTTGTCCCTAGCTACTTGTTTTCTGCATGTTTTAAATTTTTTGAGTCTATGTGTATCTTTTTTTGAGTAGTACTGTACTTGTTATTGTATGAATAGGGTGTCTCTATTGGACTTCTCATATAACCTTTATGTATCTTTTCTATTTCAATAAAATTAGCCCTTGGGCTTTTCAAATATATATATATATGAAGAAAGAGAAACTGAGTGAGAGAAAAATAGAGAGAAGTGGGATAGAGATAGAAAGAAGACCCCTTTGTTTAGAGAAAAAAATAAGAGTGGGAATTGGAATGTGAGAGAGAGAGTAGAGAAATCCTCCGTTGTTTAGAGAGAAATAAAGAATATTTAATGTGTTAAAGCCTATGTGATGTTTTAAAATGGAATTTATTTTTTTAAAGATTAGGCCATGATAGTATAAGAAATTTTAGTTGAATGTTTAGTTTTTAAGATGTTCCATATATATTGCATTTGTACAGAATTCTAACAAATGTTCAATACTTGAAAAGAAATAATGCAAATTATAGCAAAAAGAAATGTGCAAGTTCAGCACAGGAGCCACCCCCTTATTAAACAAGTTAAAGATGCCATTCTACTTGTGCAAAAAATGAAAATGAGAGAGGCCTGGAAAATGAAATGAAAAAAGAAATAAAACTGAATGTATCTTAATTAGTACAAAAATTTCTTACAATGCTCCTAGGATGACGTCTTAAATAAAATTTAATTGAAAGAGTTAAAAAGTTCTCATTAAAGAAAATGTAATATCTAAAAATTTTAATAAAACAAAATTTTAATGTTTAATCTCACAGTTTTACAACATAAACGTTAGAGCATGTGCATAAAAGTTTAATCCGCAGTAAAACAATTATTAGTCACTAAGTTGTTGCATAACTAAACATGTTGTTTACCTGCTTATACTAAAAAAATAACTTTGAGTTCAATGACTAACAAGAGAAAGTATGTTTACAAAAGAAAAAATAATAATAAAAATATGTATCAAGAAACCATTCTATCTCGTGTTTAGTATTATTATTGAATCTGTTATTGCAATTGAATATTTTGACGGTTTGGTTCGGATGAAAAAAATACACCACAGAAGAAAAAACACTCAAAGGGAAAATTCAAAGACCAGCATAATATCCAACCAGATGTAAACCTGTTCCACTAGACCATGTAGTCGTTGAAGCACATGCCTAGTTACAGATATAATGGCAACCTCCTGAATTTGATCCCAATAAGAGAAACCAGTCTTTGGAGAGTTTCCCGGATATATCTCAGCTAACATGTCCCTAGCCTGTAGGAAATTTCAAAAAAAATAGATGTAAATTCAGGTTCAATCATGATAAATTATGAAGCTAGAATTGAAAAATTTTGAAATAATTTTAAAATGATAGTGAACATTCAAAATCATTCAAAATAGAGCAATTAAAAATTGATGTTACAAGTACGAAATTTGACTTGCAAGGATGAGAAATTAGAATGAAAATTTATATAATTTGGCATTTTACTGAAAATGAATACTAATAGTAAAACATTGTAAAAAAAGATAAAAGTTTCTCATATTTTGTCAAAAAAGCTAACTAAATATGAAACACATTCCAAGCTACAGTGAAACCATCATGTTTGGCCTTTTTTTTTTTTTGAAAACTCGTCATTGCCAAAAGAGTTTTTCATGAAATCCTAATATCAATATAAGAGTTTTGTTAAAAAAAAAAAAAGAAAAAATATTAATACTAGAATTTATCACATAACCGTAGTATTTCTAATAGAATTAAGAGTGAAATCCTGCTTTTATTATTAGAACAATATCTATTTTGCATGACAGTTTCAAAATAAATGCCAGTAGGAATACGGAAGTTTAACAACCTAACTGCTGGTAATACCAAAGTCTCCAGAAATTAATGCATGTAAGTCGAGGTTTCTTGAATGCTAAGGTTTTATAAAACATAATAAAATGTCACACTTGTTAACTAGGTTTTAGAACAAATGTTCTTCAGGAAACGAGCAAACTATACAGAGATTGATAAAATTTTCCTTTTGGAATTAATGTTTTAGCTGCTGAATGCTCAAATTGGTGTTACAATCACATACCTGGCCCAAAAGCACTTTGCACATATCAACAGATTTAGCAGAAACTACCGCCACATCCATACAAAGGAGAATCTGGCAAGAACAAACATATTTATGAGATATTCAGACACTACTTTCAGAAAATTAAATTGTGTTCAGATGGACTTACAGCAGCTAAAGGGCCTAACTGGGCACGAAGGGATGAAAAATTTAAATCCTGCATGGTACTAGAAGTATTCTCAGCAACACGAGCTACTATATCCTCCATCTAAAAAAACAAAACTACGAGTGAAAACTCAGTCGTAAAAATTAAAACATGACAATCAGAGAAAAGGATACCAAAATGAAAAAACAGTCATGTTTGATGAAAAGAGTCATGCATATGAGATCAAAAAACAAAAATATAAAGATGAGGAACCTAATTAAAAACCCACTCAATTTCTTGTAACTTTAGCTGATTCATAGAAAGAAACAGTAAACTTCATGAATGAGAAACTCAATAGCTTATCCCCTAAAAGAAAATATTCATAAACTTCAAAAATAAAATAAAATAACATAAAAAACATCAGCAAAATTTAGACCATTCACAAAATTGATAATCAAATATTCAGCAAAACCAACTAAATGTAATCAGAGTCACTCAGCCTATATCTATTTATCCATTTGTATACAATCTACAGTAGATATTAAAGACAATATTTCAATTCCATTACTTTTTTTAAAACAAATGTCTCATATCTTAAATTGCATAACAACGGAGGCAACTGGCAGCATGAGTTGGACCAACCAAGAAAAGTTTAAACAGGATGTGGTCATGCTTTCTTTAAGGCAGTGGTCACAAAGTGTGGGGTAAAGAGTGCTCTTTTCGTTGTGGGAGGTGGCAGAAGATGTGATGTGGTTAGACTTACAGAGCAGCCCACGAGGAGGATAACATAAGTTAAAGACAGCAAACTCATTTGTGAGAGTGGTCAACCAAAAATGTTTCCCAGGAAAATCTGCTCGTTATGGTAAACTTCTCATCATCCATGCTCATGGAAAATGGGTGAATCCATACAACAGAGTGAGAATGGGGAAGCTGTAGACCGAGAAAAGATTTGCTTATGATAGACATTAAAATAAAGCACGGTCAAAGTTTGCAACGCCTGCATTTTAAAATTTTTAATAGGATAAGTAAGCAATCATCGTCCAAGATCTCCAAGGAGAATAAGTAAGAATTAAAGGGAAATTAGTTTTGCACAATTATCATCCTCCAACGTAGAGGAATTGAGTCAGTGAGCAAGATGTTGACGGAGCCTTGTCCATGACAATAGCCAATAACATCATGACTAAAGCCATTAGCATCATGTTATGCACATGAATATATAAAGAATTTTCTTCACATTGAGCAAATTTTTATGCTATTAGCAAGCTTAAAAGCATATGTACATGATTATCTATTCATAATGAATTCACAAAATTTTTATAGAATCCTAGTTAAAATATATTAATAAGCTATATTACACAATTAAGCATGCAATGTTGGATATTACATGCCATAATAATATTGATGTATTTCAGCATAGTTTGATTGTCAATAAGTACATATCCATACTAGATATGTGAATGCATAGAAAAATAATATAACAGAGAAAAAAGATCAACAAAAATCATATTATTTTATGTAAGTAGGCAGACTATGACGATAGGCTATACAACAGAAGGCAAAAATTTTAATAGATGAACCTCAATAAGAAAATAAATGTACTCCCAACTCTGAATATCAAAGTTGAGGCAGTCCAACAAGTACCCAAGAACCATTAATGACTATGAGGTTGAACTGGCCATATTATCGGTTATCATGGCAGATAGGCTAAGTGACGACCAAATAAAATAAATGAACAAAAAAATATGTGGCATTTCTAGAATAATGAGTACTAAAAATAATAAGTAAATTGCAAGTGAAATTAATATGCAAAATGAACTAACATAATGTAATAAAAAAACTGACATTTAATGATTATGATCAATTTATTTTTATTTAATAGAATATCAAAACATGCCTATTTAAGAATACTGTTGCACCAAGCAAATTAAAAGTCTAAATGTGAATGTTCATTTTAGTTAAAGATTAACATGCTTATTATTTTTATCCTTATATGTTTAAATCTTATTTTGTAATTGTATATCTCATTAAGCATTGAGCACATCAGATACTAACAACTGTGATTTAATTTAAGGGGAAGAAAAGGGTGGATTTGTAGATAGGTCCTTAGTTTTGTCAGCATCATATCATTTTTTGTTCGTATAATTTTGGATATTATATATAAAACAGGTGTTTTTTTTATATATATTAATTTATAATGGAAGTTATTTAAAAGCTCAATATTTTATTTTGATGATTGTTCAATGCAGACTTCAGTATTATCATTTATCATGAAAAATAGAAGACTTAAAATAAAAGTGAAGGTCTAATAGTGATTTAGACCGACTAATCTCCCGCCAATATTATCCCTATAAGTAAACGTGAAGGTCTAATAGTGATTTAGACTAATCTCCCGCCAATATTATCCCTATAAGTAAAAGTTAGCATTAATGTGACTGAATGAATTTTCCTCCACTGTGACATCTATAGTGGACCACAAAAACTCAACAGGGGTGAGACATAAATTAGTAGTACAAAAGTTTGAACTATAATTTATAACATAAGCATATTTGGATTTAAAACTGAAATAGGAATAATATTAAAACTTTGAATCTGATTATTATTACAGAACTATAGGTCGATCTGATTCCAGTAGTTGATCAAGAACAATTGGAATGTATTTTCATGCATGACATAATCTTTACATGAGAAATTGTATTAAATAAATAAATTTATGCAAATTACAGATAAATATGCCTCAAAAAAATACATAAAGAATAAAAGTCCAACATCAAGGTCTGCCACAGAATTAGAAATGCAACTTCAAGAGAATTTTAATGGAAGTGAAATCAAGAATAAAACAAATGAAGAGGTCATTCCCAAAGATTTGCATGATATTGTGAATTTGATCTCTTAGGTGGTTGACAGAATGATATTTATTAGAAAGTTGTCTTCAAACAATGGGCCGAGATCTGAGTTCATCATTTTTGTAGAACATGCGAAAATATTTCAAACTTTTAAACTACCAACATTCAAGGGAGCAAGTGCCTCAATTTTTGTTGAAGATTGATTGCTAAAAAATGGGAATATATTGGATGACATGACTTAGCCTAATAATAGAAAGATTGCTTTGGCTACTTTTGTGTTAGAGGTAAAGCTGAAAGATGGCGACAAGTGCAACATAGACAAAAATTTGGATTGATCCATATCACAATGATTAAAGAAAATAAATTTATAAGAGTGTTCAACGATTAGTTTATTCCACCATCAACTAGGTTTTAATTGCATACCAAATTCTTTAATTGAACTCAGGGTCCAAGATAATTGCACAATATGAAGCAGAGTTCATATATACACCTCATTATGTCAATACTCAAAAGAAAATGTAGCATAAATTTTTTAAAGCCTCATAGATGAGTTAAGATACTCATATTTAGCAAAAAAAGCTAGAAAATTTGTAAATAAGTTGTTATACTTGAAAAAACTAAGAAAAGCAGCGAGGCAAGAGATGAAATTTCAATAAGGTAGATGATTCCAAGCACACAAAAAAAAACCCCAGATTTGTTACTAAATGAAAGCAGATTCGATCAAATTAATGAATATGTCAAAAGTATAAAAAAGAAATTTACAGCAATGTCGTTAGTTTTAACTGTGGATAAGTAAAGCATCGTGAGATAAAATGTCCCTTGGAGAAGAGAAAAAGGCACAAGGGATTAAGGATGGGTGGGTCAACAATGAAAATTTTTTGAAGTCAATAAGATAATACTCCGTTTTATGAAAAGTCATCAGTTCAAGTGAAAAGAGAAACTTCAATGAATAGAAGAAAGTAAGTGTTCCCCAAGAATAAAAAAAAAAATTAGATTGGCACCGTCTTCTTTGATTCTAATGTTTTGCATTCATTTACTTATGAAGAATTTTATATTAGTTTATCAATTGAAATTGTACATTTTGTAGCCCAATTAGGTACTAAGATGCCTCCTAGAGTTTTCTAGTATGCTAATAGAGAAGTATAAGAATTATTAGCCTAATTAATGCTGCAGTTATCATTAAGTTTTATTTGTTTTCTTTATTTTGTTCCATTTCTATACCTATGTGATTTTGAATTTAAGTCTTGCCTTTTATGTGGATCTTGTAATGTGTATTTATACACCCCTTTCTTATTAATAAAAGTATGCAACTCTAGCCTCAAAATTTAACATGCATGATCTTTAACCCTAGAGCTTCATTCCTGTAATAACCCGTTGAAGCCTTCTCTGAGGTGATCGATACCTCTCGTCGCAACTTCCGCAAGACAGAAGCACCGCTCGGGTTGTGTCGACGGTTTCCGTTGTGATAGATGCACCGCTTGAGGGATAGTTGCTTGTTTCTAGCAGATGGGAACTTGTTCCAACCAGCAGGAGCTCCATCCAATAGGTCGCTGGACTGACTAGCATCAGTTCCTTTCCAGCCGTCAGAATCCCTTTCCAACCATCAGATCTCTGTTATTCTGTCCTCGATCAATGATCTCTCTATGTCTCGACATCTCAACATCACTTTTAACTCATTTGGAACCATGGAGGATTCTTCCACCATTGAGCCTTCTCCCGAAAATGTTCTTGAGTCCACCGAAGAAATCGATGTCAATCCCTCCACAGGCTTGAGGAACGAAAAATCATATGAGATTCCTAATCACTGCCCACAAACTAACAGATCTAATTTTCTCCAATGCACTCAATCCATGTCTTCATTCTTCAAGAGATGCAGGAAATTCAGCGGAATGATTTGTGAACCTCTTACTTAACGTATGAAACGTGAGAAGTGGGGAAGCTCATGTTCATGCCATGGCTATTAACTCCATGGAGACTACAGTTGGTCGTTCATATATGTTTCTTTCTTCTATTAGTGCTCTATGGACTGCAATTCGGGATACCTACTCAGATGCATGGAACTCCAGCCAACTTTATGAGATATTCAAGAACATCCACGAGGCAAAACAGGAATCAAAGACCATGACCCAATACTACGATAAATTGGTGGTCGTATGAATGGAATGTGATCTCTACTATAATTACACGTGGGAATCTCCGGCAGACCTTTACATTTTTCATAAACTTGTAGAAAAAATTGCATGGTTTAATTTTTGGCAAGCCTTAATAAATACCTTGATG